ACAGGAACACTTACATTCAGTGATTACCTTCAGAGACAGGAACGCTTCCACCCAGTGATTACCTTCATATACAGGAACACTTCCACAGAGTGATTAATGTCACACACAGGTACACTTCCACCCTGTGATTACCTCACACACAGGAACCCTTCCACCAAATGATTACCTTAACACACAGAGAAACACTTCCATTCAGTGATAAACCTTCACACACAGGAACATTTCGACCCAAAGATTACCTTCACGCAGAGGTACACTTACACCCAGTGATTACCTTCACACACAGGAACACTTCCATTCAGTGATTACCTTCACACACTGAACACTTCCATCTAGTGATTACCTTCATATACAGGAACACTTCCACCCAATGATTACCTTCACACACAGGAACACTATCACCTCATGATTACCTTCACACACAGAGAAACACTTCCATTCAGTGATTACCTTCGCACACAGAAAAAACACTTAAAACCCAGTGAGCACCTTCACACACAGGAACACTTCCACCCAAGGATTACCTTCACACACAAGAACACTTCCATTCAGTGATAACCTTCACACACTGAACACTTCCACCCAATGATTATCTTCAGACACATGAACACTTCAACCGAGTGATTACTTCACACACAGGAACACTTCCATCCAGTGATTTCCTTCACACACAGGACCACTTCCACCCAATCATTACCTTCACACACAGGAACACCTCCACCGATTGATTACCTTCACACACAGAAACACTTCCACAAAGTGATTACCTTCACACACAGGAACACTTCCACACAGTGATTACCTTCTCACACAGGAACACTTCCATTCAGTGATTACCTTGACAAACAGGAACACTTCCATCAAGACATTACCTCACACACAGGAACATTTCCATTCTATGATTACCTTCACACACAGAAACACTTCCACCCAGTGATTACCTTCACACACGGAATACTTCCCTTCTGTGATTACCTTCACACACAAGAACACTTCCACACAATGATTACCTTCACACACGGGAATTCTTCCATTCAGTGATTACCTTCACACACGGAACACTTCCACCCAATGATTACCTTCACACACAGGAACACTTCCATTCAGTGATTACCTTCACACACGGAACACTTCCACCCAATGATTACCTTCACACACAGGAACACTTACATTCAGTGATTACCTTCAGAGACAGGAACGCTTCCACCCAGTGATTACCTTCATATACAGGAACACTTCCACAGAGTGATTAATGTCACACACAGGGACCCTTCCACCCTGTGATTACCTCACACACAGGAACCCTTCCACCAAATGATTACCTTAACACACAGAGAAACACTTCCATTCAGTGATAAACCTTCACACACAGGAAAATTTCGACCCAAAGATTACCTTCACGCAGAGGTACACTTACACCCAGTGATTACCTTCACACACAGGAACACTTCCATTCAGTGATTACCTTCACACACGGAACACTTCCACCAAATGATTATCTTCACACACAGGAACACTTCCACACAGTGATTTCCTTCTCACACAGGAGAACTTCGACTCAATGATTACCTTCACACACAGAAAAACACTTAAAACCCAGTGAGCACCTTCACACACAGGAACACTTCCAGCCAATGATTACCTTCACACACCAGAACACTTCCATCTAGTGATTACCTTCATATACAGGAACACTTCCACCCAATGATTACCTTCACACACAGGAACACTATCACCTCATGATTACCTTCACACACAGAGAAACACTTCCATTCAGTGATTACCTTCACACACTGAACACTTCCACCGAATGATTATCTTCAGACACAGGAACACTTCAACCGAGTGATTACTTCACACACAGGAACACTTCCATTCTGTGATTTCCTTCACACACAGGACCACTTCCACCCAATCATTACCTTCACACACAGGAACACCTCCACTGAATGATTACCTTCACACACAGAAACACGTCCACATAGTGATTACCTTCACACACTGGAACACTTCCATTCAGTGATTACCTTGACAAACAGGAACACTTCCATCAAGAGATTACCTCACACACAGGAACATTTCCATTCTATGATTACCTTCACACAGAAACACTTCCACCCAGTGATTACCTTCACACACGGAATACTTCCCTTCAGTGATTACCTTCACACACAAGAACTCTTCCACCCAGTGATTACGTTAACACACGGAACACTTCCACACAATGATTACCTTCACACACGGGAACTCTTCCACCCAATGATTACCGTCACCCGCAGGAACACTTTCACCCAGTGATTACCTTCACACACGGAATACTCCCATCAAGTGATTACCTTCACACACAGGAACACTTCCACAAAGTGATTACCTTCACACACGGAACAGGTAGAGACAGTGCTTACCTCCAAACACAGGAACACTTCCATCAAGTGATTACCTTCACACAGGAACATTTACATTCAGTGACTACCTTCACACACGGAACACGTAGAGACAGTGCTTACCTCCACACACAGGAACACTTCAACCCAATGATTACCTTCACACAGAAAGACTTCCTCCCAATGATTCAAATGATTAAATTCACAGACAGGAACACGTCCACTCAGTGATCACCTTCGCACGAAGGAACACTTCCACCTAATGATTACCTTCAAACACAGGAACACTTCGACCCAGTGAGTACCTTCACACACAGGAACAATTCCACGCAATGATTACCTTCACACACAGGAACACTTACATTCAGTGATTACCTTCACACACAGGAACACTTCCACCCATCGATTACCTTCACACAGTGGAACACTTCGACCCAATGATTATCTTCACACACAGGAACACTTTCATTCAGTGATTACCTTCACACACAGGAACACTTCCACCAAATGATTACCTTCACACACAGAGAAACACTTCCATTTAGTGATAAACCTTCACACACAGGAACATTTCGACCAAAGATTACCTTCACACACGGAACCCTTCAACCCAATGAATATCTTCACACACAGGAACACTTACATTCAGTGATTACATTCACACACAGGAACACTTCCACCCAGTGATTACCTTCACACACAGGAACACTTCCATTCAGTGATTACCTTCACACACGGAACACTTCCACCCAATGATTATCTTCACACACAGGAACATTTACATTCAGTGATTACCTTCACAGACAGGAACACTTCCATCCAGTGATTACCTTCACACACAGGAGAACTTCGACCCTACGATTACCTTCACACACAGAAACACTTCCATTTAGTGATTACCTTCATATACAGGAACACTTCCACCCAATGATTACCTTCACACACAGGAACACTTCCATTCAGTGATTACCTTCATATACAGGAACACTTCAACCAAATGATTACCTTCACATACAGGATCACTTCCACTTAATTATTGCCTTCACACACATGAACACTTCCACCCAATGATTGTCTTCACACATAGAGAAACACTTCCATTCAGTGATAAACCTTCACACACAGGAACATTTCGACCGAAAGATTACCGTCACACACAGGAAATCTTCGACCCAATGATTACCTTCACACACAGGAACACTTCCACCTCATGATTACCTTCACACACAGGAACACTACCATTCAGTGATTACCTTCACACACAGAAAAAACACTTCCACCCAGTGTTTACCTTCACACACAGGAACACTTCCAATCAGTGATTACCTTCACACTGAACACTCCCACCCAATGATTATCTTCACACAGGAACACTTACATTCAGTGACTACCTGCACAGACAGGAACACTTCCACCCAGTGATTACCTTCAGATATAGGAACACTTTCATTCAGTGATTACATCCATATACATTATAAACACTTCCACCCAATGATTACCTTCACACACAGGAACACTTCCATTCAGTGATTACCTTCACACACAGGAACACTTCCACCCAGTGAATACCTTCACATATAGGAACACTTTCATTCAGTGATTACATTGATATACATTATAAACACTTCCACCCAGTGATTACCTTCATATACAGGAACACTTGAACCGAGTGATTAATGTCACACACAGGAACACTTCCATTCTGTGATTACCTTAACAGACACAGAGAAACACTTCCATTCAGTGATTATCGTCACACACAGAGAAACACTTCCATTCAGTGATTACCGTCACACACAGGAACACTTCCATCCAGAGATTACCTCACACACAGGAACACTTCCGCCCAATGATTACCTTCACACACAGGAACACTTCCACCCAGTGATTACCTTCACCCACACAGGAACACTTCCATTCATTGATTACCGTCACACACAGAGAAACATTTCCATTCAGTGATTACCGTCACACACACAGAAACACTTCCATTCAGTGATTGCCGTCACACACAGAGAAACACTTCCACCCAGTGATTACCTTCACACACAGGAGCACTTCCATTCATTGATTACCGTCACACACAGAGAAACACTTCCATTCAGTGATTACCGTCACACACAGAGAAACACTTCCATTCAGTGATTATCGTCACACACAGAAAAACACTTCCACCCAGTGATTACCTTCACAAACAGGAGCACTTCCATTCATTGATTACCGTCACACACAGAGAAACACTTCCATTCAGTGATTACCGTCACACACACAGAAACACTTCCATTCAGTCATTACTGTCACACACAGAGAAACACTTCCATTCAGTGATTATCGTCACACACAGAAAAACACTTCCACCCAGTGATTACCTTTACACACAGGAACACTTCCATTCAGTGATTACCATCACACACAGAGAAACACTTCCATTCAGTGATTACCTTCACACACAGGAACACTTCCACCCACTGATTACCTTTACACACAGGAACATATCCACCCAGTGATTACCTTCACATAGAGAGACACTTCCATTCTGTGATTACCTTCACTCACTGGAATATTTCCATTCAGTGATTACCTTCACACACAGGAACACTTCCACCCAGTGATTACCTTCACACACAGGAACACTTCCCGTCCACGATGCTGACTTAGCGGTGTCTGAGTAGACGCAGGTGCGGCTGTCATCGGGAACAGGTGTGAATCCAGGTCTTGTACACCTGTAAGCCACAACCTTCCCCTGCTCGTAGCTGTCAAATATCTGCTCCGATCCCCCGGGCGTACCTGGATCCGGGCACTTCGTAGCTGGAAACACAACAATGCCCATAGTGTCTGCCTATAGGTTCTTGGATGTACTTTTACACCACGCCCATTCCACCATCGTCTTGAAAATAAATGTAGATACTACGACTGCCTTATCATCTGCATATTGAAATCAAACGTCAGTCGTCATCACTGTACTATATTTACTGCACTTCCAGACATGATACACGCACATGTGGATATTTACCTTTGCAGGTGAGGTTACCAAATCCCCATCGACCATTTTCTCGGCATCTCACAGTGGTGGAGTTTTCAGTCGATACCCCAGATAGTGTCGCCCCTGTACTGCAGCTGAACTCAAAGTACGTCCCAAACGTTGATCCTGTCGTCTCGAGGTCAGGATTGTTAAGGCCAGCGATGTCCTCCACAGGTCCACAGTCAACAACTGAAACATTAGTAAACATATATTTCATGAGTCCACAAAACTCAAATGTTTACTGACGAATGAATTCTTGCATTGACTTGATCGGGTTTGCCTGTACCCACACTTACCACACGTACTCACGACTGGCGACCACGTGATGTCTTCACGTGACTGTAACTTTCGAACACATGGTACAAAAACCGCAACTACACGGCGGGTCATTAACGTTCTGCTTTCATACTTGGGAGATGTAACTGTATGCAAACATGCAGCATCCTTCCCACAATCATCACAAATGATCATTGACTACATCATCAGCATGCATTGAAGAATCACTTTCACATACAGTGATAGAAAGCCTTTCTTACAAATTACCGCAAAGCAATTACCATGGCAGTACCAAAAGTAGCACCAAACGTTTTATCTGAAATAAAAGAAGTGATTAAAGCAATGAAGACAATGAACATTCACCTTGCTGCTACATTGGTCAAGCTTCCGAAACAGACCCAACTGCTGTTCTTTATCTCACCTGGACAGATGGGGGAGTCGCCTTGTCAGGTATATGTCATTGTCTCACTGTCATACATTATCTCACCTGAACAGATGGGGGGAGTCGCCTTGTCAGGTATATGTCGTTGTCTCACTGTCATACATTATCTCACCTGGACAGATGGGGGAGTCGCCTTGTCAGGTATATGTCTTCTTCTCACTGTCATACATTATCTCACCTGGACAGATGGGGGAGTCGCCTTGTCAGGTATATGTCTTTGCCTCACTGTCATACACATTATCTCACCTGGACAGATGGGGGAGTCGCCTTGTCAGGTATATGTCATTGTCTCACTGTCATACATTATCTCACCTGGACAGGAGGGGGAGTCGCCTTGTCAGGTATATGTCTTTGCCTCACTGTCATACATTATCTCACCTGGACAGATGGGGGAGTCGCCTTGTCAGGTATATGTCGTTGTCTCACTGTCATACATTATCTCACCTGGACAGATGGGGGAGTCGCCTTGTCAGGTATATGTCATTGTCTCACTGTCATACATTATCTCACCTGAACAGATGGGTGTGCCGCCTTGTCAGGTATATGTCATTGTCTCACTGTCATACATTATCTCACCTGAACACCACTGTCATACATTATCTCACCTGGACAGATGGGAAGTCGCCTTGTAAGGTATATGTCTTCTTCTCACTGTCATACATTATCTCACCTGGACAGATGGGGAGTCGCCTTGTCAGGTATATGTCTTCGTCTCCACTGTCATGTCATTATCTCACCTGGACAGATGGGGAGTCACCTTGTCAGGTATATGTCGGGAGTCTCACTGTCATACATTATCTCATGACAGATGGGGAGTCTGTCTCCTTGTCATACATTATCTCACCTGGACAGATATAGTCGCCTTGTCAGGTCTTCTTCTCACTGTCATACATTATCTACTTGTCAGGTATATGTCGTTGTCTCACTGTCATACATTATCTCACCAGGACAGATGGGGGAGTCGCCTTGTCAGGTATATGTCGTTGTCTCACTGTCATACATTATCTCACCCGGACAGATGGGGGAGTCGCCTTGTCAGGTATATGTCTTTGCCTCACTGTCATACATTATCTCACCTGGACAGATGGGGGAGTCGCCTTGTCAGGTATATGTCATTGTCTCACTGCCATACATTATCTCACCTGGACAGATGGGGGAGTCGCCTTGTCAGGTATATGTCTTTGCCTCACTGTCATGCTTTATCTCACCTGGACAGATGGGGGAGTCGCCTTGTAAGGTATATGTCTTCGTCTTGCTGTCATAGGCACAGTAGAGGGTCTTGTTGAAGGTGGAGTTATCCTCCTTCCTGCACCCTATAACCACCTTGCCCTTGAACGGAACAGGAGTTGTCGGGACAATGCGAACCGCCCTCTCCTTCTGGACATCCGTCCCTTGTCGTGTCTGTGCTGAGCAGGAAACAGCTGTAATGATGAAAGGAGAATGACACTGACAATATCAACACGGGCAATGTAACACCTGTAATGATGAAAGGAGAATAACACTGACAATATCAACACGGGCAATGTAACTGCTGTAATGATGAAAGGAGGGTGACACTGACAATATCAACACGGGCAATGTAACTGCTGCAATGATGAAAGGAGAATAACACTGACAATATCAACACGGGCAATGTAACTGTTGTAAGGCTAAGAACAGTTGGGCATGTACAGTATGTAACACAGAAAACATGTGACAGCTGAATATACAAGTGACAAAATCAGTTGGTGAGATGAACAAGATAGATTGTTCTACGGATTGTAATATAGAGGTTGTATATCCATAGGACTTTATACCTTGTTACTTCCATCATGTATAACATGCTAAGCCCAAATTTGAATACCTAACTGAGATATTTTGGTCAAACATATGGATGTCAATTTCGAACTTTAGGATGCAGAGTCACGGTGCCACCCAGCTGTACCTTCAGCCCACCCACTCACCTGTGCAAGTAGGATCAGATCCAGACCAGGTTCCAGGTGCCTGACATGTCCTCGTCTCATCTCCGCTCAAGGAGAATCCCAGCTGGCAGCTGTACATAATCTCATCCTGGTAGAAGAAGGTCTGCTTCTCACTGTGTAGGACGCCATTGGTGACATCACTAGGACGAGGACACGTGTTCCCTGAAATACGGATGGTGTGGAATAAAACGAACGTTGAGAAAATGACGCTAAAAGTAATTCCCAGGCGTGAAGTAATTATTATAAGATATTTCACGCGACCCGTGAAGATCCGGGGTAGAATAGATCTTCAGCAACCCATGTGCTTGCCATAAAAGGCGACTATGCTTGTCGTAAAAGGCGACTAACGGGATCGGGTGGTCAGTTTCGCTGACTTGGTTGACACATGTCATCGGTTCCCAATTGCGCAGATCGATGCTCATGCTGTTGATCACTGGAATGTCTGGTCCAGAATCGATTATTTACAGACCGCCGCCATATAGCTGGGATATTGCTGAGTGCAGCGTAAAACTAAACTCACTCACTCACATATCCACGCAACTAGTGCATGCTCAAGGCGCTGCTATGTTTTCCCTCGATCATTGGATGTCAGTGTCGCACATCGTAAAATCAATCTCAACTTGGGAGTATACCACTCTTGCAGCCACTAGGAGCACCGAGTTATTGTGGCTCTCTCTTCCTAACGAGGTACCCATTCACAGCTGGGTGGACTGGGATACTTAGTCACTGTACTTAGTCCAAGTTCACTGCACGTTGCTGTACCCGCAACTAGGTGTTTGCACGTATTCATGTGGCCACCATCTGGTCATATACCAACGGATTCGTGGGGTTCTTTTAAGTGCACATGGCTGCGTACTGTACGCTGGGGGTTGACTCCAAGGTTGACTCCAAGGTTTTTTACCCGGTCACAGGTGGGCTCGATCCCGACACCTAAACCTCGCTGGATCACTAGCCTGGCGCCTTAGCGAGATCACCCACCGCCCCCTGACATAGTAATGAAGGTAATAAACACGGAAACTCAGCCACGTTTGCTACCTGGCCCTTCAGTATTCCAGCTGTGCTGTAGCTAGATATGACCTACCCTGTCATTACGAAGCATGATATTGTGTTGCACCTTCTAATTACGTCCCACCTATACTAGGAGCTGCTGACGTTGCTGCTTTGACTATACGCGCCTTGTCATTGTTTTATGTACCCTGCAAATTAAAGTCCATCCAAGCTATCTGATGTCTTTAATTCAGCAGTTATGTCATCATGATATGTTAAGTGTCCACATTACCGCCACTGTCGCTACTGAAGCTACTCACGGACACACGAGTGGTTCACATGGTAAACGTCAAGTCTCCTGAGACCAGTCTCCCCTTCCACGATGTACTTCGAGTTGGTTCCATTTTCAAACAGTTTGTATCCGTCCTTGCAGGTGCAGGTGTAGGATCCCGCGGAGTTCTTGCAGCTGTGTTGGCAGCCGCCGCTACCGTCACCGCACTCGTTGATATCTGTGACGTAAGCTCAAGTAGTCACCAACCTATAGTACATCGAACCACTGCTGGCCGAGGTTAGCCCATTGTTAACTTGAAATACACTGCATCACTTCACCAACCAACAGTACCTGTAACCACTGCTGGCCGAGGTTAGCCCATTGTTAACTTGAAATACACTGCATCACTTCACCAACAAATAGTACCTGTAACCACTGCTCGCCGAGGTTAGCCCATTGTTAACTTGAAATACACTGTATCCCTTCACGAACCAATAGGACCTGTAACCACTGCTGGCCGAGGTTAGCCCATTGTTATCTTGAAATACACAGCACCACTTCACCAACCAATAGTACCTGTAACCACTGCTCGCCGGGGTTAGCCCAATGTTAACTTGAAATACACTGCATCACTTCACCAACCAACAGTACACACCAACCACTGCTGGCCGAGGTTAGCCCATTGTTAACTTGAAATACACTGCATCACTTCACCAACCAACAGTACCTGTAACCACTGCTCACCGGGGTTAGCCCATTGTTAACTTGAAATACACTGCATCACTTCACCAACCAATAGTACCTGTAACCACTGCTCGCCGAGGTTAGCCCATTGTTATCTTGAAATACACTGCATCACTTCACCAACCAATAGTACCTGTAACCACTGCTGGCCGAGGTTAGCCCAATGTTAACTTGAAATACACTGCATCACTTCACCAACCAACAGTACACACCAACCACTGCTGACCGAGGTTAATCCATTGTTAACTTGAAGTACACTGTATCACTTCACCAACCAACAGTACCTGTAACCACTGCTGGCCGAGGTTAGCCCATTGTTAACTTGAAATACACTGCATCACTTCACCAACCAACAGTACACACCAACCACTGCTGACCGAGGTTAATCCATTGTTAACTTGAAATGCACTTCATCCCTTCACCAACCAACAGTACCTGTAACCACTGCTGCCCGAGGTTAGCCCATTGTTAACTTGAAGTACAATGTAGCTTTCATCATCTCAACAGTTCAGAAGATTGTGATGATGCTTACAGCGATTTTCAGTTAACTTTTAAATTGAATGCATTTTGTTTTCAGAGTATGAATCCTTTATTCAGTGGTAGGTACTAATTCCCACCCTCATTGTCCAAATACCCTGCACGGTTGGTCGAAAGTACCCGGGTTACCGGAGCCCTTAATGGGCCCCTGAGGGCGAGCAGGGGAGACCTTGGGTCTTTGATAAGTGCCATGGGGGCTTGGCTGATTGAGGAAATTGAAACTTGCATTTCCGAATTATGCCCCAAAAATCAATACAAAACATGTTTTAACATGTCACTTTCGACTGCAGTACTCTTTCGCTACACTGAGTTGATATTGAACATAACTAAATGCATGTTGTACACTCGAACCTTCACACTGCACGACAGTCCCTGGTCTGTAGCCCTGTCTGCACACACACTTGTGGGAGCCGACATTGTTCACACAGGTCTGTGTAGACAAGCAAGGGGACTTGGTGACACACTCGTCTTCATCTACACAGAAAACATCGCATGAAAGTTTCAACGAAGACCAAATATTGCTGGGAAACTTCTGACACATGCGATGAATATCAATCAGAGTTAAACAAGTTTAACGTTAGAGGAGACCTGTATACCCCAGCCTGCCTATAACTCTAGTTCTTCTCACCTCAGTGAAGTTATTACACAGATTACACAAACAAGTTCTAACATCCCACAGGTGAATATCTCCAGCTCATGTTTCTGGCCTTTGAATGTAGCTGAGTTAATAGAATTCACTATACATACCCACGCAGGAGACTTCCTCAAATCTGCCATCCGCTTTACACGTGAGGACGGCGACTGTTTTGTTTGTTGTGGAGGCCCAATAGCCAGGCTCACACGCCAGATTTACCTTGTCCTCGAAATCAGCTGGCTTCTCCACGCTCAGGGAGCCCATTGAAATTTCAGGGAGTGGACATTTGATCCCTGGGAAACAGATATAAAATATACATGTAGTTACATCAATAAGCGGATTGGTAGAACACATGTAAATCTGTAATAAATGAATATTGTATTTTCTTCCTTGAAACAGCCTGTTTTAGTGGTATTTACTTATACATTTTCAGTGTGACTGTGTTTGGATTTGGTGTGCTCCAGTTGGTGTCGCATCATTTCTTCAAGTTGCCTGACACGTGACAATGTGTGTTGTTTCATCTATGTAAAAGCTAATAATTCGGCTACTTACTGATATATGAAATAAATAAATAGGTCTCACAAGAGGCTGCTGTGCATTTCTAGTGATATCTAGTGGCAGCAAATGATTGAAGAGCTCGTAAATTGTCGAGAGTTGCCAGCCGCATCAAGTAAACCTTCGATTTGATCATGGGTTATTTATTTGCGTTATGTAATTACAAACGTGGGATGTAATGGGTAGACCCAGACGGATTTGTGGATAATACTTTGGAAGAAGAAAATAGCATCCTGTTATAATGACGTAATGTTCGCGCAGTATCTGTTGATGTCGATAAAGCTTAAACTAAACGAACATGTACTTGCTGTCATCACAGTCAATGTCGCCTGGGACGTCATAGGTATGGTCTGTATTTACACCCACAACTGGGGCAGTGTTGATATGGTCTGTATTTACTCTCACAACTGGGGCAGTGTTGATATGGTCTGTATTTACTCCCACAACTGGGGCAGTGTTGATATGGTCTGTATTTACTCTCACAACTGGGGCAGTGTTGATATGGTCTGTATTTACTCCCACAACTGGGGCAGTGTTGATATGGTCTGTATTTACTCTCACAACTGGGGCAGTGTTGATATGGTCTGTATTTACTCTCACAACTGGGGCAGTGTTGATATGGTCTGTATTTACTCTCACAACTGGGGCAGTGTTGATATGGTCTGTATTTACTCCCACAACTGGGTCAGTGTTGATATGGTCTGTATTTACTCTCACACCTGGGGCAGTGTTGATATGGTCTGTATTTACTCTCTCACAACTGGGGCAGTGTTGATATGGTCTGTATTTACTCTCACGACTCGGGCAGTGTTGATATGATCTGTATTTACTCTCACAACTGGGGCAGTGTTGATATGGTCTGTATTTACTCTCACAACTGGGGCAGTGTTGATATGATCTGTATTTACTCCCACAACTGGGGCAGTGTTGATATGGTCTGTATTTACTCTCACAACTGGGGCAGTGTTGGTATGATCTGTATTTACTCTCACACCTGGGGCAGTGTTGATATGGTCTGTATTTACTCACAACTGGGGCAGTGTTGATATGATCTGTATTTACTCCCACAACTGGGGCAGTGTTGATATGGTCTGTATTTACTCTCACAACTGGGGCAGTGTTGATATGGTCTGTATTTACTCTCACACCTGGGGCAGTGTTGATATGGTCTGCATTTACTCCCACAACTGGGGCAGTGTTGATATGATCTGCATTTACTCCCACAAATGGGGCAGTGTCGATATGGTCTGTATTTACTCCCACAACTGGGGCAGTGTTGATATGATCTGTATTTACCTCACACCTGGGGCAGTGTTGATATGGTCTGTATTTACTCCTCGCCAACTGGGGCAGTGTTGATATGATCTGTATTTACTCTCACACCTGGGGCAGTGTTGATATGGTCTGTATTTACCTCACAACTGGGGCAGTGTTGATATGATCGGTATTTACTCACACCTGGGGCAGTGTTGATATGGTCTGTATTTACTCTCGCCAACTGGGGCAGTGTTGATATGGTCTGTATTTACTCTCACAACTGGGGCAGTGTTGATATGATCTGTATTTACTCTCACACCTGGGGCAGTGTTGATATGATCTGTATTTACTCTCACACCTGGGGCAGTGTTGATATGATCTGTATTTACCTCACAACTGGGGCAGTGTTGATATGGTCTGTATTTACTCTCACAACTGGGGCAGTGTTGATATGATCTGTATTTACTCCCACAACTGGGGCAGTGTTGATATGGTCTGTATTTACTCTCACAACTGGGGCAGTGTTGATATGATCTGTATTTACTCTCACAACTGGGGCAGTGTTGATATGGTCTGTATTTACTCTCACAACTGGGGCAGTGTTGATATGATCTGTATTTACTCCCACAACTGGGGCAGTGTTGATATGGTCTGTATTTACTCCCACAACTGGGGCAGTGTTGATATGGTCTGTATTTACTCTCACAACCGGGGCAGTGTTGATATGATCTGTATTTACTCTCACACCTGGGGCAGTGTTGATATGGTCTGTATTTATTCTCACGACTCGGGCAGTGTTGATATGATCTGTATTTACTCTCACACCTGGGGCAGTGTTGATATGGTCTGTATTTACTCTCACGACTCGGGCAGTGTTGATATGATCTGTATTTACTCTCACAACTGGGGCAGTGTTGATATGGTCTGTATTTACTCCTCACAACTGGGGCAGTGTTGATATGATCTGTATTTACTCCCACAACTTAAAGCAGTTGATATGGTCTGTATTTACCTCACAACTGGGGCAGTGTTGATATGATCTGTATTTACTCTCACACCTGGGGCAGTGTTGATATGGTCTGTATTTACTCTCACAACTGGGGCAGTGTTGATATGATCTGTATTTACTCCCACAACTGGGGCAGTGTTGATATGGTCTGTATTTACTCTCACAACTGGGGCAGTGTCGATATGATCTGTATTTACTCTCACACCTGGGGCAGTGTTGATATGGTCTGCATTTACTCCCACAACTGGGGCAGTGTTGATATGATCTGTATTTACTCCCACAAATGGGGCAGTGTCGATATGGTTTGTATTTACTCCCACAACTGGGGCAGTGTTGATATGATCTGTATTTACTCTCACACCTGGGGCAGTGTTGATATGGTCTGTATTTACTCTCACAACTGGGGCAGTGTTGATATGATCTGTATTTACTCTCACACCTGGGGCAGTGTTAATATGGTCTGTATTTACTCTCACAACTGGGGCAGTGTTGATATGATCGGTATTTACTCTCACACCTGGGGCAGTGTTGATATGGTCTGTATTTACTCTCACAACTGGGGCAGTGTTGATATGGTCTGTATTTACTCTCACAACTGGGGCAGTGTTGATATGATCTGTATTTACTCTCACACCTGGGGCAGTGTTGATATGGTCTGTATTTACTCTCACGACTCGGGCAGTGTTGATATGATCTGTATTTACTCTCACAACTGGGGCAGTGTTGATATGGTCTGTATTTACCTCACAACTGGGGCAGTGTTGATATGATCTGTATTTACTCCTCACACCTGGGGCAGTGTTGATATGGTCTGTATTTACTCACAACTGGGGCAGTGTTGATATGATCTGTATTTACTCCCACAACTGGGGCAGTGTTGATATGGTCTGTATTTACCTCACAACCGGGGCAGTGTTGATATGATCTGTATTTACCTCACACCTGGGGCAGTGTTGATATGGTCTGTATTTACTCTCACAACTGGGGCAGTGTTGATATGGTCTGTATTTACTCTCACGACTCGGGCAGTGTTGATATGATCTGTATTTACTCTCACAACTGGGGCAGTGTTGATATGGTCTGTATTTACTCTCACAACTGGGGCAGTGTTGATATGATCTGTATTTACTCCCACAACTGGGGCAGTGTTGATATGGTCTGTATTTACTCTCACAACTGGGGCAGTGTTGGTATGATCTGTATTTACTCTCACACCTGGGGCAGTGTTGATATGGTCTGTATTTACTCTCACAACTGGGGCAGTGTTGATATGATCTGTATTTACTCCCACAACTGGGGCAGTGTTGATATGGTCTGTATTTACTCTCACAACTGGGGCAGTGTTGATATGGTCTGTATTTACTCACACCTGGGGCAGTGTTGATATGGTCTGCATTTACTCCCACAACTGGGGCAGTGTTGATATGATCTGCATTTACTCCCACAAATGGGGCAGTGTCGATATGGTCTGTATTTACTCCCACAACTGGGGCAGTGTTGATATGATCTGTATTTACTCTCACACCTGGGGCAGTGTTGATATGGTCTGTATTTACTCTCACAACTGGGGCAGTGTTGATATGATCTGTATTTACTCTCACACCTGGGGCAGTGTTGATATGGTCTGTATTTACTCTCACAACTGGGGCAGTGTTGATATGATCGGTATTTACTCTCACACCTGGGGCAGTGTTGATATGGTCTGTATTTACTCTCACAACTGGGGCAGTGTTGATATGGTCTGTATTTACTCTCACAACTGGGGCAGTGTTGATATGATCTGTATTTACTCTCACACCTGGGGCAGTGTTGATATGATCTGTATTTACTCTCACACCTGGGGCAGTGTTGATATGATCTGTATTTACTCTCACAACTGGGGCAGTGTTGATATGGTCTGTATTTACTCTCACAACTGGGGCAGTGTTGATATGATCTGTATTTACTCCCACAACTGGGGCAGTGTTGATATGGTCTGTATTTACTCTCACAACTGGGGCAGTGTTGATATGATCTGTATTTACTCTCACAACTGGGGCAGTGTTGATATGGTCTGTATTTACTCTCACAACTGGGGCAGTGTTGATATGATCTGTATTTACTCCCACAACTGGGGCAGTGTTGATATGGTCTGTATTTACTCCCACAACTGGGGCAGTGTTGATATGGTCTGTATTTACTCTCACAACCGGGGCAGTGTTGATATGATCTGTATTTACTCTCACACCTGGGGCAGTGTTGATATGGTCTGTATTTATTCTCACGACTCGGGCAGTGTTGATATGATCTGTATTTACTCTCACACCTGGGGCAGTGTTGATATGGTCTGTATTTACTCTCACGACTCGGGCAGTGTTGATATGATCTGTATTTACTCTCACAACTGGGGCAGTGTTGATATGGTCTGTATTTACTCTCACAACTGGGGCAGTGTTGATATGATCTGTATTTACTCCCACAACTGGGGCAGTG